AGTACCCGTTTGAGGGGCTAGTCAATGAGCACCCAAATGTTGTAAGCCTAGAAGTATGGTTTGAGATTTCTTGCCGAGGTGACCAATGCCAGGGCTATCTTTTCCAGGTTGGGGTACTGGGTTTCCCCGCCACCGAGCACTTTGCTGGTGTAGTAGATTGGCCTCTGTACCCGGTCTTCCTCCTTGACCAGCACCAAGCTGACGACCTCGTCCCCGGCTAAGAGGTAGAGCAACAACTCATCCCCTGGGCTCGGTTTGGTGAGGAGAGGGAACTCAGATACTGCTTCAGTTCTTGAGAGGACCGCTAACATTTCTCAATCCATTGGAAGTCCTCCGGACGCTTGAGGGCTTTGAAAAAGGGCAAGCACCGATGAGACGTTGCACTTCCTTGTGAGTCTAAGGTGACTGCATGTCAAGGATGGCCTGTATTTTCTCTGGATTGGTCTCAATTTCCCTTTGTGTCACAATAAACCCTAGGAATTTGTCGGAGCCAACCCCAAAGGCGCATTTGATAAGGTTTAGCTTCATCTTGTACTTCCTAAGGGTGTCGAAGACTTCCTTTAGGTCAGCAAGGTGATGCTCGGTCTTCTTGCTCATCATAAGCATGTTGTCGACATAAGCCTCTACGTTTCGGCCGAGGTGATCCTTGAAGACCTCATTCACCAGCCGCTGATAAGTAGCGTTGGCATTCTTGAGGCCGAAAGGAATCACCTTGTAGAAGTATAGCCTGCGGTCGGTGATGAAGGATGTTTTCTCCTGGTCGTTTGGGTACATTTGAATCTGGTTGTATCCTAAGAAGGCATCTATGAAACTCAGGAGTTCATGCCCTGTCATTGTGTCGACAAGCTAGTCGATCCTCGGAAGGGAAAGTTGTCCTTGGGGTAGGCTTTGTTTAGGTCGGTGAAGTCGATACATATTCTCCACTTCCCGTTGGCCTCCTTCGTCATCACCACATTGACCAGCCAGTCGGGGTATTTTACTTCTCGAATGAATTTGGCGTCGAGCAATTTTTGCACCTCGTCGGTGATCTCTTGCCACCGCTCTGTAGCGAAGCTTTTTTTTCTGCTTGATAGGTCGGTAGTGAGGTTCGGTGTTCAAGCGATGTGTGATTACTTCGGGGTCAATCCCTGACATATCTGCTACCAACCAAGCAAACACGTTGGCGTGATCCCTTAACAACTGTAGCAGTTCTTCCCAAAGGCGGCTATCCAGGAGAGAGCCAACTTGGACTGTTTTCTTAAGGTCTTCTTCATTGAGCAACACCCGGATGAGGTCTTTGACAGGCTGGCTGCACTACGTCTTTACTTCGTCCTGCAGATCATAGGCTTCAGCTAGTAGAGTCTTTACGACGGGGCGTAGGCGTCGACAGGAGGTCAGGTAACATTGTCGTGCGGTCCTCTGATCTCTACGTGCTACTCCCACGCCATATTGGGTCGGGAACTTTACCGCGAGGTAGAAGGTGGTGACAAACACCCGTAGAGCGTTGAGGGTCGGCCTGTCAACGATGGGTAGCAGACCACTATGAAGTCTACCATGACCGTTGTAGTGATGTTGCCATCTCCGATTAGAAGGTCCGATTAGAAGGGGGAGGGTTATCCTCCTAGTTGACATGAGGGACTCCCCAGAGAAGCCCATCAGGGGACTGTTGACGGGGGTGAGGCGATTCTTGTCAATGCCGAGCTTATCGAATGCTTCTTCAAAGAGGACGTCGGATGAGCTGCCTGTATCAACCAGGATGGGTCGCACCTCAAAGTTGGCTACCTCGGCCGTGATCACTAGGGCGTCATCGTGTGGGGTTTGCACCCCCGAAGGTCATCCCCCGTGAAGGTGATTGGATCGTCCCGCCTCTTCTTCTGTCCTCGGTTGTCAATCTCGCATAGACGCGCATACTTCTTGCGCCCCGAGCTGCTCTCTCCTCCCGCAACGATCCCTCCTGATATTATGTGGATCACGCCTGTAGGAGGAGCTCGGGGTGGCGGCCGAGCATTCTATACGCGTGGTTCTTCCTATGTTGGCTTCTCGCTCTTGTCGACGAATCCGCCGAGGTACCCGCACCTAATCAGGTCCTCGATGTGGTTGCGAAGGTCGAAGCCATTGTCCGTGTCGTGGCCGTGGTCCCTGTGGAACTCACAATATTTGTCGTGGTTCCTCTGGTTGCCTTGTGTTTTCATCTTTTCGGGCCACCGGACGTAGCTACGATCGCGGATTTGCATTAGAACTCTAGACCGCGGTGTGTTTAGTGGCGTGAAGTTCCGATAGGTCGGCAAAGGTGTCTATGGTCTGCGGTTGGGCCGACGATCCTACCTCTTATGGTCCCGATCTGATCTTTCTGACTTTCACTCCTCTATGTCCCTCCTCTTCTTGTCGGGCCTTTCTTCTTCGTCCCGTAGCTACGCTTGGGCTTCTTTCACGTTGATGTACTTTTGGGCATGGCTCATCAGTGTGACTAGTGTCTGCGAAGGGTTCTTAGAGATGGAGAAGTTGAAAGGCAAGGGGCGGAGCCCATCCTGAATGGCGGTGATGGCCATGAACTAGTTCAGGTTCTTGACTTGTAGTGTTTCTTTGTTGAATCTCGCCCAATAGTCTCTGAGAGATTATGTCTTCCTCTATCGCACTTGCATAAGGCTAGCTGAAGTCTTCCAGTGATTCTGGCTTGTTGTGAACTGTGCTTGGAACTGTGTCTCCAACTGTTCCCATGACGCTATGGAGCGCAGGGGGTAGAGAGGAATACCAAGTTAGGGTTGGGCCTGTGAGGGTGGCCACAAGAGCTTTGCACATCAAGCCCTCGGAAGATCCATGCAACATCAGTTGAGCCTTCAATGCTTTGATGTGGTCGATGGGGTCGGTATTCCCATCGTATTTGTCGAGCTGAGGTGCTTGCCATCCTGTGGGAGGCACCTCGTCTACAATCTCTTGGACGAGCATTGTCTCTTTAGCGGTTTGTACGGTTGGCTGCACGGGCTGATCTACAGGCAGTGCCGTGCTTCTCTGAACTTGGCTGCGCTCCAACTCATCTAAGTGCTGTCGGAGCTCCCGAATTTTGGCGTTCCTATTGTCTGGTACCACGGTACGCATGGCTCTCTCCTTCTTGGGTCGTGTAGAGTGGTCTTTTACCAAACTGGACTCAACAAAGAAGACCATATGGGGCGGCATCCGTTTGCCGAGCCTTTCTTTGGTGCGGATCCACATAGTTTGATGCGTCCTACTGCGGTTATCGGGTTCGAGAGAACGGGCTGAGGAGACGAACTTCCTTGTCGTGTCTTGCTTTTCTTGATGGAACTACACCCCTTTCTTGTCCGACCAACGTGTTTTGGGGTCCTTAGAGCGAGGATCATCCTTCGTACGCGTCGGGGCATGAGGGGGGGCGGCCTGGTGGAGCGATGCCATGGAACCCATCGTCTGCATCATCTCAAGGATCTTGTCGACCTTTTCTTGCATTGTTGGAATTGTGTTGGGTCAACTGTGGCTGGGGGTTGCGGGATTTCTTGGTGTAAAGGGCTGTGACATCAAGATTCCTGAGATGAGGATCGGCTTTTCGATCACTCGGACTAGTTCTTAGGCATCTTGATCGCTTCCTTGGTTGCGCAGTAAGGAAGAGATTTCAGGAAAGGCTTTTTGCGCATTTCCCATAGACAGTGCCAATCTGATGCTGCTCGATCCGAGGTGGTGCACGAACTAAGGAAGGCAATCAGATAATCCTTGTCAACAGGGCAGAGCCGAGGTGGAAGGATGGACCACACTTCAAGACCTATGATCAAGAAAAGGAGTCAAAGGCCTGAGGAGTTATCCCCGAGTAGGCACTCCGACGCTCAAGTCAATGGAAGGTGGTGGGTGGTCGGGCCAAGCAATGAGAGTGCTGGTCCGAGCAAAGTAACAGTATGGGTGCTAGAAATTGGAATCCCTTACCTTGAGCGGGAGATATCTTTTTATAGTCGGAGATCTGTGTCCTAATCGGATTGGGCTTCCAGGGTTATCAGGTTGAGGTTAACCGCTGAGGTCTTTGGGATAGAGTCCTATTCCCTAGTGGAGTTGTCCTCATCCCTCCTCCTATCCTTGGTCGTGCTTATCTGTGCGGCGTGTAGCTAACATGGCTGAGTAGATAAGATGGGGGGCTACAATAATAGTGTAGTGCGACCAGAGCCACGGAGCTAGTCAGGCCGTGCCGACATGGTCAGGGTGACTGGGCAATGACTGGGCGACCACGTGTCACCTAAGGCCAGCTCAATCTTGACCCGAACAAGATCTTATTCGTAAACAATAACCCACTTTATTTGCTATTTACTATTTATCTAATAAATCTATTTTGAGTTATTTATTTTTAAAAGTTAAATTAGGTTGCTTCCGAAAAGTTAAATCAAGTTTGTAATTAATAAAGTATTTTTTTTTGAAAAAAATCATTTAAAAACAAACATGGGTTTATGGTAATCTTTTAATGGGTCCCACCATTTGTATTTAATAGACTATGAATAAACATATGTTAAGCTAATAAATGTCTATTGAAAATGTTTAGGAGTGAAACTAGTGAATTAATAGGATGTCACGTGTCTAAATGGTGGTAATGGGTTGTGGGCTTTAGCAGCAACTTCTAAGAAAATGCCACATGTCTATCTTTTCCATAAAAATGAGAAGGCCGCATGTCTAAGTGGTAGGGGGCTATATGGGCATTAGCAAGAATTTTTCATAAATTGCAATGTATCTAGCTTCTTAGAAAATGAAAAGACCATTTGTCTAAATGGTGGTAATGGGTTGTGAATTTTAACAACTTTTCAAAAAATACCAGATATCTAAATTTCTAGAAAAATGAAAGTACCACGTGTCTAAATGGTGGGAGATTCTAGCCCGAAGTCCTTTCTTTATATATATATATATTAGATATTCCATATAATAAAAGCCGTGCATTACACAAACCCAAGTAGTTAAAATTACCTAAACTTCTCCTACCGTTAATATTCCGTCTAAACCATATACACATGACATCACATGATCGTTATATTTTTAAAAATTCCTAATATACCTTTTATGGTCGAAAATCCCTAAACCCTTCGTAGAGGTTTCTCTGACCAAACCCAGTTTCGGACCGTCACCAACTGCTGTGTTCAAACTGTAAGCATCTCATCACCGACTGAACCCGAGATGAGGTAGTCGCGGCGAGGTGGGGGAGGGAGGGTTTGGTGGTGGCAACTGTTGTGTTGTAGTACCTCATCACCGACTGAACCAGAGATGCAGCGGCGAGGCGAGGTGGGGAGCTTGCAATTGAACAAACCGAATAGGATTTCTATCTTCTTCTTCTCTGCAATCAAACAAATTGAACAGGGATTTCTCTCTCTTCTTCCCCGTCTCTGCAATCGAACAAAACCGAACCCTTGTCCCCTGTCCTAAAGCGATTACAAGTTCCCTCTTCTTCGTCTTCTATTTGTCTTCTCTACAATCGAACAAACCGAACAAGGCTCTCTCTCATTGTTGAAGATGCTAGATGTTTACAAGTTCTCTGATCAGGGTCAAAGCGAGAGGGGTAGGGGTGGGCAACTTCTGGGGGCAGTGCGATTTTGTCGGTGGTTCTCATCGGACACAAGCGACTGAGACTAACTCTGGAACCCTAGAAGGAGAACGAAGGAGAAGCTTAGAAACCATGGTGAAGCTTGGTGAAGCTTCTTCACCTATAAAGAGTCATTCCAGAAATAATGGTGCAGCTTCTAGAATAAAACTGATCGAATCATGGTGAAGCTTCTTCACCTGTAACCATGATCGTCTGATCACATCTCAAATCAACGATACAAAGACTTGAATGGGCCTTTGTAAAGAGTCATTCCAGAAATCTCTTCGGACACATCATAGCCAATATAATAACCTCTTCTCTTGTCATTAACGTGATCTCTTCCTCGATTGATCAGCCTTCTTTTCTATCCAAGTCAGACTACTAAACCCCTTCCTAAAGCGATTACAAGTCCCCTCTTCTTCATCTTCATTCATCTTTTCTACAATCGAACAAACCGAACAGGGCTCTTTCTCCTGCTTCCTTTCCATTGTTGAAGATGCAAGACGATTACAAGTTCTCTGGTTAGGGTCAGAGCGAGAGGGGTCGGGCAACTTTCGGGGGCGGTGCGATTTTATTGGTGGATCTCCTTTCTCTGACACAAGTGGCTGAGACTAACTCCGGCAAAACTTAGGAAACCTAGAAGAAGAACTGAGTAGCTTCGAACTTCGGTAAAGTTGGAAACCTAGAAGAAGAATGAAGGAGATTTTGAATTTGATTTAAAGGCAAAATAGACATTTCAACGCTTAATCAATTAAGTAAAGGGTAGTTTAAGAAATTTACCCTAAAAAAAAGTAGTTCCTTGGGAAAGAGTTATTGGGTTTATATTTGGCAAACTTAACGGGCTAACCCTCGCGGCTCCCCCTCTCGACTTTGGAGAAATAAGAATAACAAGGTCCTGCAATGGCAGTAAACAAGCAAATTCCTCCACAGTTCGACCTAAATGCGAAATGGGATGAATGCCTTGATCTAACCGTCCGTCGATTTGTCTACTCTTCCTTAGCTGGAGCTTTTGGCGGTCTCCTACTCTTCAGTAAGTTCTGATTTCTCCTTTTCTTCTCTTCTGCAAATGGTTTCATGCTGTTGATGCTTGAAAAATTCCAAATATTTTTATTGGAGTTTTTTAGTTTTTAATTTATATTTCTCCATTTTATTTATGCTGGAATTTTGTTTTGGAATGATTTCCCCTCCCAATGGTTAAGCATTTTAATCGAACTTAGAGGATGAGATCCTTCCATTATCAACAGAAAAAAGGGCGAGGGCTTCTGAATGTCTTAATTCCAGTAAAGATGTAAATTCTTCTCACTTCTCAGTTTCTTCCAATATGCAAAGTGCATTTTAGATTGCTTTCCAAATTATCGAGGATACCTTCCGCTTATGATATACATAGAAAGGGCTACTCATAGCAGGGGGTAGCCTGTCCTCAGAAATCCATACAGTTAATGTACCACAGTTCAAGGGGAGAAAAAATTGAATCTATTCTATCGAAAGATCCTAGGTGATCCACGCTGGCGAGCTAGTCAGCAGCTTGATTGGCCTCTCTATGAACATGATGGTCTTTGATATCAGTTCCAGCTTCGTGAGCGATATTTATACTATCCTGAATTATAACACTTGGTGGACCATTCAATCATCGATGGTGAGCTTACTCCCGTTCAATCCAAACTTTTTGGTTTGTATACTGAGTAGTCATCAGTTGAGCCTTCCTAGCATCAAGTGCCTCTGTAATGCTGATTCTTGACACCCCTACAGATCTTGCAGAAATTTGAAGAACCCTCCATCATTATCCCTAGTTATGCAGCCAATGGCCACTTTGTCGTCATTTAATCTAGAGGCATCAAAATTGATCTTCACCTCCTGTCCATGGGGTGGTTTCCATTTTACCCAAATCCAATTTCTTTTTCCTTCATTCTCCTCATTTGTATCTCTGGTTCCCTGTATATTCCTGAAGGATAACCAGGCCTATGATTTGAGGTAGATGTCTCCTGTCTCCTCTTATTTTGTAACAGATTTTCATTTTCCTGATAGGGAGCATTGATAGTTTATGTCCATTCCTCTTTGTCTTAGTAGTTTCTTTGTAGGCAGGTTGTTAGGGCTGTCAATGGGTCAGTTCTATCCGACTTACCAAACTGATTATATCAGTTCTGCTTCTGTGATTTTGTCCCAATAAATAATTGGTTTGGTTCTGGTTCCTGCTTGCTCCAAACTGATTAAGGCCCTAACCGATTATTTTCTTAACAACATATAAAGGTTTCCTAGTTTTCTTGTACTTTTTGTTATATTTTGTGTCTAAAATGGTAAATTTGATAGACAATATATAAGATAATTTTTATTAAAAACACTTGGTTTATTAACATATAAATAACTTACTATTTGATGTCATTTTATTAAGATTATATTATAAAAAATCAAGTTCTAAGTTATTGTTTATGTAAAAATAATTTTATCTGTCAGTATAATCGGGTTGGGCCTGATTATCTAATTATTAACCGAGACAGTTTTGGGTCTATGATTTTTGTCCCAATTAATAATAAGTTTACGATTGGGACACCCTGTCTTGATCCAGACCTGATCCATTAACAGCCCTACAGGTTGTCCTTTAGAAGGAACCAAATAAAAACCCTATTGTTTGGGCCCTTTGGGATGTTATTGTATCTTCAAAATCTTGTTTAGCTCCTTGTTCACATGATTTGGTAACGGTTGGTTGTCAAGGGCCATCCTATTTGTTGGTTTTGCTGTGAATCTCCCATTTGATACTTTGTACAGATTGCAAGGTGGAGAAAAACAGTGAACATTTGAGAGTTTCAAAATCAGAGGAAAGGCCACTTTAAAGAGTAGAGAGATGAACATGCCAATGGTGAGGCTGGTAGGAGTTGAAGTGGTAGAGTGGTTTCAAAGCTTTGTAGGAGCTCTACAGTTAAGAAAAGAGATAGCGTGGAAGAGAATTTAAAGTAGAAAGGAAGAGTAATACTAAGGGGAGATTCATAATCCTTTATGAATATTTTGGGAAAGGGAAGAATAGGTGGTCTGCTTTCGTAAAGGCAGAAGAAGTGAAGGGTGGAAGGAGCTACTTAGGGTGGTACAGGAGTTCTTGAATCAGAAAGAAGAAGGTCAAAGCTTGAGAAAAGGAAGCTTGGGAGAGTATAAACCAATGTTTTAAAACATGGAGGTGTGATGCAAGGCGTTCCACTACCTAGAGGTGTGACGCAAGGCGTTCCACTACCTAGAGGTGTGAGGCGTAGTTCAAAACAGTAGAGGCGTAAGCCTCCCGATCACAAGGAGGCATAAGCCTCCTTAAGAGGAGGGGGGTTAGGAGGAGGAAGGGGCGGAGGATGAAGAGGAAGGGGGATCTCATTTTTTCTTTATTTTTAATAAAAATCTTTTATATTAAGAAGAATAAAGATGCATAACATTAGTTGAAAGGGAGGTCTTGTTGAAGCGGAGGTGAGCGAGCGAAGTGAGAAAAACAAATTGGGCTGCATTGAAAAGGGGACTCGGGGTCTGAGGGGCAAAGCCTCCCAGCTGAAGGGGCAGGGGGCAAACCACTTTTTTTTTAGCTTATCTTTTCTTTTCTTCCCTTTCCTTTTCTTTTCTTTCCTTTTCTCTTTTTTTTTTTCTTATCTTTCTTTTTCTTTCCCTTCCCTTCCCATTCTTTTCCTTTCCTTTCCTTTCCTTTTTTTCTTTTTTTTTTTGTCTTTTTTATGTAAGATGTGCATGAGGCGCATGAGGCGTATGCCTCTAGCAGCTTCATGAAAAAAGTGCATGAGGCGTATGCCTCAGAGGTGTCAGCGCCTCTGGCATAAGCCTCAGGGCATTTTGGGAGCGCCTCGCTTGGAGGCGCACCTCCAGGCGTACGCCTCCCATGCTTTTTAAAACACTGGTATATACAAACCTAAAGAATTGGAGGATGTGAGTAGAAAGGATCAAGGAAGAGATACAGAGAAGATCTTCTTTTGCTGGGGAAGGATGTTGGAAAATTGAACTTTGATGGAAGTAGCGAAGGAAATCCAGGTCCTTCAGGTATAGGTGGAGTGTTCAGGGCTGAAGAGGGTCAAATTATTGCCATGTATTCAGATCCTATTGGATGGGGGGATTCTCTGATAGCTGAAATGTTGGCAGTCTTGGAAGGGGTTAAAAGAGCCCAGCAGCTGAATATCAGAAAATTGATGGTGGAAGGTGATTCTAGGCTGGCTATTAGTTGGTTACAAAGGAAGAGTTTAGTTTGTGGAAGTACTCAAATGAGAAAAAGAAAGTTAATCTGGTATCTCAAAACATGGAAATCAAGTTTCAGTGGTCAAAGAGGAGTGCCAATTCTTTGGTAGACTCTTTGGCCAAACAAGGGGTGGGAAGATATTGATAAAGAAAAGGGAGTGGGAAAAGTTAATCTTTTTTGGGCAATTTTGTAATTTGAAGTATACTTTTAGGGAGAGTTAAGAGATTTTAATGCTCCTTCCTCTTGTATCTTACTTTCTTACTCCAATTCTTAATAAAAGTTTCTGTTATTTATAAAAAAAAAGGATGCGGGAGGATGGGGGAAAGTGGGACTAGCACCGTGTTCCCTCGGTTCAGGGTGCAGGCACCCATCATCATCACATTTTTCTTAAACAAGGAGACGTGGAAAACAAGGTGAGTGCGAGAGGATGGGGGAAGGTCCAATTTGTAAGCCACCTCCCCTACTTGGCCCAAAAAACTGGGTGCAAACTTAGGCCACTTTTGGTGGACTATTGACACTGGCAGTAGGGCTGGAGTTTTAGATAAACAAACTTCCCCACCTGATATGATACCGGTCTGTGCTTCGTCATACCGGGCTTTCATCTGCTATTGGGCCCGGGTCAGGTGCTCTTTCAAGGATTTCAAAATTTCATCTCTTTGCTGTAGCACTTCCTCAACCTCTGCCACAGATGTGGAGCCAAGTTCATAGGGTAGTATCAAGGGCGGTTATCTTCCATACACTGCCTTAAATGGGTTCATCCCCAGCGATGAGTCGTAGGTGGTGTTGTACCACAACTTGTCCCATGGTAACCAGCGTACCCATTGCTTGGGCTTCTCCCTTGTAAAGCACCTCCAGTAGGTTTCTAGACATTGGTTTACAACTTTAGATTGACCATCTGCTTAGGGGTGGTAGCTAGTAGTGTGGTTTAGCTAGGTCCCTTGGGCCTTAAAATATGGGTACAAACTTAGGCCACTTTTGGTGGGCTACTGACACCTGGCGGTAGGGCTGGAGTTTTAGATAAACAAACTTCCCCACCTGATATGATACCGGTTTATGCTTCTTGTCATGCCAGGCCTTCATCTGCTGTTGTGCCTGGGTCAGGTGCTCTTTCAAGGATTTCAAAATTTCATCTCTTTGCTGTAGCACTTCCTCAACCTCTGCCAAAGATGTGGAGCCAACTTCATAGGGTAGTACCAAGTGCGCTTCTCTTCCCTAAAATGCTTTAAATGGGCTCATCCCCAGCGATGAGTGGTAGGTGGTGTTGTACCACAACCTGGCCCATGGTCACCAGCGTACCCATTGCTTAGGCTTCTCCCCTGTAAAGCACCTCCAGTAGGTTTCTAGACATTGGTTTACAACTTCGGATTGATCATCTGCTTGGGGGTGGTAGTTAGTAGTGTGGTTTGGTTGGGTCCCTTGGGCCTTAAAATATTCAGCCCAGAAGCGGTTCATGAAAGTCGGGTCCTTATCCATCAAGATGGAAGATGGAACAGGGTGTACCATGAAGACGGGTCACTTCCTATAAAGAAGTGTGCGCCACTTAGGCTGCTATATATGGGCAGGCCAACCTAACAAAGTGATTGTATTTGGTCAACTTGTCCACTATCACCATTGTCACCGACTTACCCATGGATATTGGAAGAGTTGTCATAAAATCCATGGTTATGTCCTCCCATACTTGTGCCGGAATTGGAAGAGGTTGTAACAATCCGGTTGGGGACTGGTTATCATACTTGTTGCATTGGCAAGTAGGGCATTGGGCTATAAACTACTAACAACCTTCTTCATCCCTGTCCAAAACAAATGTTGACTTACCCTTC